CGTTCACATGTACCACTCAGAAACGAGAATTCGAAAAGTGTGCCGGCAAATACCGCGCATGCGGCTCACCGTAGTTTTCTGGAGTGAGAGTTAGAAGCATGCCAAGGTCTATCCTCTGCGCATCTGCCTGGGTCTCATCATCCAGAGGCGTCAAACCCAAACCAGCAAGACGACCCTCGTGTAAAAGCATCTGAACATAGCACCCGCACTCGCATTTTACGCCCCAAAGCATATCATCAACATTGATTAGTCTGCAGTCTCAGGAGGAGGGAAAGGTGGCCAAAGGCCCACGAAGGCCGAAACTTCCAATAAAGTCTCTCCCTAGAATGCCCTTCTGTTGTCCCCAGATGTTCTTTTGTTGGGAAGGCGAGATTACGAAGTGCTAAAAGAGCTCTAGGCTCAGGGACAAGTGGAGTGCGCCTAAAGCAGTTAGCCTCGGAGGGGAAAAAGGATGCGGAGGCCATATGCCGGCCTGCAAGCGATCGGCTGTGTAAAAACGCGGCGAAACGGACGGCACGGGCAGTGTCAAGGGGCTGAGATGAGACAGACGTAACGGCCGTGCGTACCTTGGTGTCGTCTTCAATGCCCAGTTCCCCTGTCATGACAGCGATGCCACGTTTAAAGCCCATTTCCACGAAGGCAGCCTCCTGCTCCAACTGCTGGCGCATCTTCGCATGGATTTGGGATGCAAAGGCAGAAATCTCCTCCGCCTCCCACTCCCATCCGTCTTCTTCCTCGCCATCCTGCGCAGTGCATGCATCCAGAGCTCCCTCTTTTAGTCGCCACCGATCCCCAGTCTCAATGCATTGCACTGTTACTCCACCCACTTACAGGCAGCACCGCGACACAAGAAGGGAGGCACGAAGCAGACAGATACGAGGACAAGCTACAGGGCATATATGCCAACAGTGGGCGTCAGCGCGACCTCAGGATGCAAATGAAGTTGTGCTCCTCTACAGCCCAGATACTACGAAACTACGGATGCGTAAGCTAAAAAGTGAACAAATTATCCATACGGCTCAGGGCGTGGCAGCCCAAGGTGCTGGATCAGCCTTCGCCCTGTCGAGTCGCTACTTTCGCTATGGGTGTAATAGTTGTCCCATCCTTGCTGCCACCCAGCTATTTGTTCAGCAGGGAACTACTTGTAAAATGCATGCATAAGCAATCCCGTGCGTGCACAGAGATTGCGTTAGGCATCTTAGTATACACTCTAGTCGCTTGGATGCCGCCTAAAAAATTGCCTAATAAGACCTGAAGTGGAGCGTGCCGAGGGTACGCAAGCATATAGACGTGCTGTGCTTTGGCTTGACCGACCTGCTCCGCACGCATGTATACCGAATCGGCATCGCTGTCCGGCTCGCTGCTGGCCTCAGTCAAGATGCTCCCTAGGCTGCTGCTCCTAAAGTTTCTTCTGTTGCTGCTGTCATGCGCCAGCAGCAAATTCTCAACTAACTCCACAAAGCCCATGTTGGCAACTGCGTCCTCTTGCACCCGCCGTCGCCGCCCCGTCCCCTTACCCCCTTCTGTTGCTTCTGGATGGAAACGCACAGTCCCGCCGCCCCCCTCATTTTCTGCTGCCTCTGCTGCTTCCCCTTCCTGTTCTGATGCTCCTGCCGCTCCAGGTGCTGTTGGCCCGTCGTCGCCAGAAGCCTCGTCAGGAGATGTTCCCGCATTGGTACCACTTCCGCCAGTCACTGCAGCCGCAGCAGCGGAAACTAGCCCAAAAGGCCACCACGGAGAGCTCTGCAAGGATTACACACATAGACGGTCACGATATATCACAAATCACCCGCTGCCAATCAGTAGTAGCTGCTGCTCCTGGCCTGTACCCGAGAATCACAGTCAAACCGGAGGAGAAGATGTTCGGTCCTATAAGCTGGGCAGTCTCCTGCCCCGAAATCGAGGGCTAAATTCAAAAACAGCAGCAACAACAGAAGCAGCAACGGCAGCAGCATCGTAGGTAGCAGTCGCTTACGGAAGGCTCTTCATGAGTCTCTCCTACTGGAGATTCATCTCTCAAGTCTGCCTTTTCCGGTGGGGGAGATGAAGCAGAAGAGTGATTATCTCCTGACATTGCTATTTACTGGTTGCTGCTGTTGTTGCTGCCGCTGGCGCTGAGGTATAGACAGCAGCAGCGGCAACTGCAGCATCTGGGGAGAAAGCTCTCCTACCTCAGTCAATCTGCTGCTTAAATCCCCGCGCCTTAACGAGGGGAAATGAACAGAGCAATGCAAGCATGCAGTGCTAGCGTTGCTGCTACTGCAGCGGCTGCTGCAGCAGCAACACCAGCAGCAGCATGTGTTGCCGATGCGCAGCCCTTCTCGCTGCAGAGTAAAACGGGTTGAAGGTATCTAGAGCTTCTTGGCAATAACAATGCGTAAATAAATACCGTAGAGCTCGGAATCTCTAGGCGGCTACCAGCAGCAAACCTATGTGCAGCGCCCAGCACAACAATAAGCCAGGATCGCGCGAAAAGCGCATGATAGCATAAAAGAGTGAAGATGAAAAAGAAAGTGTGCAGATTGCTTTCAATGAATTATTTCTCCCTCGAGTTGCAGTGATCAAGGCTCCGTCTGGGTAACGGCAACATGAAGGCTACCAACTGAGTGACTAGCGTGGGAAACGCATACGCAAGAACGAAGTCCAATTCATCCTAAGAAGTCTTCATTTTCAAATAAGACTATTCGCATTCTTGTTCCATAAATGGAGGGTTCATTCCCTCTAGTGCAGAACTTTGTGGAAGTCTGCGCCGCCGGAAACACAGTCGGTATGAGGCGCTGTCGGCACTCGCCTGTCGCCCGTGTGCTCCATTCAGTGTCGTTCCCACATAGAAGAACTTTGAATGTCAAGGTGAGAAAGTGTGTCAGTTATGCATGGGAAAACGGTTTT